GCAAATATTACCATTTTAACTCATCATATCGTTGCAAACATTACCATTTTAACTCATCATATCGTTGCAAACATTACCATTTTAACTCATCATATCGTTGCAAACATTACCATTTTAATTCATCATATCGTTGTAAACATTATCATTTTAACTCATCATACGATTGCGAGAATTACCATTTTAACTCATCATATCGTTGTAAACATTACCATTTTAACTCACCATATCGTTGTAAGCACTAGCATTTTAACTCATCATACCATTGCGAGCATTACCATTTTAATTCACCATATCGTTGTAAGCATTAGCATTTGTGAGATGAGAAAAAATCTTTTTTTATTTATTTATGGTTGTGTTTATCTTTCAATTTATTACTTGTGGGATAATTTTTTGATGATTATGGTTGTGTTTATCGTTCGTTTATTATTTCCTTCTATCATTTAGTTTATCTACCAAATTTTAGTTGCATTAAAACGCTAACTCACCTTCTAGCTAATCATTTGTATTTTGAGTAAATATGTGTGTGAATAAAGAAACTGACACCAGCTTCCCTAGCGGTGACGTACAGATCCTATTAATGTAACAGAAGATTATGTAAATTTATGATCACATGAGGTTGTACTCTCGTGATCTACTCAATGAATAAATACCCTACCAGAAGTTTCACTAAGAAAGAGAGAGAGAGAGAGAGATTTATTGAAGGGTATAGTTATTGCGGTTTGTCACTCTTCTTCTTTCTGGTTCTTTTATCTCATTCCATTATTATTGATATATTACTATTTAAGATAAATTGTGTATTAATACTAGTGTGAAGTCCTGACCAGGCACTTGTTTATTAGGTGTGTCTTGTTAAGTTTTTGTTATTGTGAATAAATTGTGTTTTTGTTGTTGAACCCTGATTGTAGGGCCCCTGCATGACCAGGTGGTTAGGGCGTTCAATTCGCAATCTGAAGGTCGCGGGTTCAAATCCCCGTCCCACCAAACATGCTCGCCCTTTCAGTCGTGGGAGCGTTATAAGTGACGGTCAATCCCACTATTCGTTGGTAAAAAAGAGTAGCCCAAGAGTTAGCGGTGGGTGGTGATGACTAGCTGCCTTCCGTCTAGTCTTACACTGCTAAATTAGGGAGACGGCCAGCGCGAAATTAATAAACAAACAAACAAAAACAAAACCTGATTGTAGCGGCGTGTTCATTTCAGACCGTTACACATTTAACCCATCATATCCTGACATGTGAAATCAACAAATGCAGTTACTAGCCTGTGCTAAAAATAATGAGGGTTATAGAAAATACCTCTCTAAAACATGTTCCTGTAGTTAACTCAACATCAGGGTTTCAGCTAAGATGTAATATAACCCTTAAATCAGTTTATTCTTGTTATTGTGTAGACTTACCTCCCACTGAGCCCCAATTTTAATCAGAATAGATAAAGAAAAAACAAAATATATTTCACAGAGATCAGTTTCTATGGTTAGATGCAAAATACGATCATTTTGTTTATAACCTTTCTGTGTCACGATGTCACCTTTTTCAATTTGTGTAGTTAAAAATGTCGTCTGAGTATATGTATTTTAAAACAAATGTTATATGTAGCAAAAGCCATCTGGTGTTTCAAACCGTCGCCTCTAATAGGCCTGGTATTTATGATAAAAGTCACGTTAAACTTTGATATTTTTTTCCACATCTACTTAACTTGTCTATTTCAGATTTAAAATGTATGTTGCAAAAAAAAAATGTCATATCTTCTCTGTGGCAGGTAAATTAAATGTCTGGCATACTATTTTTACACTTCTTTGATTTGTGTTTTCTTAGAGCAAAACTACATCAACCTATCTGCTGTGTCCACCGAGGAGAATCGAACCCGTGATTTTAGCATCGTATATCCGAAGACTTACCACTGTCCCACCGTGGGACCATCTCTCATTTTAAAATCGTAAGTGATAAATAAAGTAAAATGGTAAAAAAACAGTCTAATGTGGTTGTTATCACGATATTATCAATATTTCCATGTGGAACTTGTTGCATGGTTATACTAATTAATAGTTGTCATTTATACTTGTTGCATGGTTATACTAACTAATAGTTGTCATTTATACTTGTTGCATGGTTATACTAACTAATAGTTGTCATTTATACTTGTTGCATGGTTATACTACCTAATAGTTATCATTTATACTTGTTGCATGATTATACTAATTAATAGTTGTCATTTATACTTGTTGCATGGTTATACTAACTAATAGTTGTCATTTATACTTGTTGCATGGTTATACTAATTAATAGTTGTCATTTATACTTGTTGCATGGTTATACTACCTAATGGTTGTCATTTATACTTGTTGCATGGTTATACTACCTAATGGTTGTCATTTATACTTGTTGCATGATTATACTACCTAATAGTTGTCATTTATACTTGTTGCATGATTATACTACCTAATAGTTGTCATTTATACTTGTTGCATGGTTATACTACCTAATAGTTATCATTTATACTTGTTGCATGATTATACTCATTGATAGTTGTCATTTATACTTGTTGCATGGTTATACTACCTAATGGTTGTCATTTATACTTGTTGCATGGTTATACTAACTAACAGTTGTCATTTATACT